ACACGTTTTTGAACAATTCATGGTTCAAGGCACCAAATACAACAGATAGTACAACAGTTTATTGCCGCGTTTCTATGAGGCGTTTCGCTACATAGACTGCTGAATCATCATCAGGGCTAGGCTAACTAAAAATGACTCTGTAAATGCACTAATGTTCATCAGGCGAACAATACTTTACCATCAAGCTGCTATTAAACTGAACGGTCAGAATGTTAACCAACAAACATTATGCAATTCTCATTAAAACATTCGGATCAAATTTGCAATTTTCTCCCACCTTTCACTAATAATCACAGAAGATATGTATTTATTGCACATCCGGTTTTACATTGCCAGTATGTGAAAGCACTCCTTTAGCAACAGACCCAATTTAAATTGGTCTTTGTTTATAACAGGTGCACTGATCTGACTGAAAAAATGCCTTTAAGTAATCGTATGGTGAGCAATACCAGAAATGTTAGCCTGACCAAGACGGACGGCAGCAAAGTGCTCTTTTATACGAATGTTCAAATTCCGGTTGGTCTTTCAATGTATGCTTTGTCGCGGCCTCTGTACTGAACTTCGTAGACAACACTTCATACATCTTACTATTATTATTAATGGACATGTACTTTTTATACAAAATGTCACCCAATATTCTGCCAGTCTTGTAGTAGACTCTAATCCCCATGTCGTTAAGGTACTCATGATACGTTGAGATACTGGAATATGAACGGTAAAATTACTATTGGCACATATGTACAGGCCATCTTGAAGTTTGAGTTGGGGTGCAAAAGTTCTTCGTTAAGGATCCTCCTTCAGTAACCGTACATTAGGAACACTTGGTGAAAGTGTTAAATTTCGTGCGGTTAGGACCGAAGTATTAGTGCAAGTCTATTGGGCTCGCAAATGCACGTTTTTCACCACATTCCTATGTAAGCCAGGGGCGACACATAATGCAGGGGGTAGGTATCGATTGGAGTGTGTTGTTTTCCGATATAGGAAAACCTCAAATTCAATCGTTGGCAGCCTCCTCATCAGTAACTACAGAAAGGACAGAATGAATAACTTCAATTTCAGCAGTAAAGCGCATTCGGCCATTTTTATCTTGTCCATTCATGCAACTGACGAAACACTTTCCGATAACATTACAATGATATTTTCCTATTATTCCAATGAAATGAGGACGAACTGAAAAGGTTGGAAAGTTTCGTGAATTACATGAATGGACAAGATAAAAATGGCCGAATGAGCTTAACTACTGACGTGAAAATTAACCACTCCATAACCTTTTTAGATGTGCTCGCGAAGAGGACGCCATCGTTTGAATTTGAGGTTTCCGTATATCGGAATACAACACTCCAATCGATAACTATACCCGGCGTCACGTGTCCCAGCTGGAATATTTAACATAGTTGTGAAAAACATGCGCTTGCGAGCCCAAGAGACTTGCACTAACATTTCGGTTCTAAATGCAGAAAATTCATCATCTTCACCAAGCGTTTCTAAAGAACGGTTACCGAAGGGCGATCCTTCCAAAGGGCGAAGAACTGTTGCACCCAAACCCAAATTTAAAGTTTGCCAGCTCATACGTACAGTTGGTAATTTTACCGTTTATACCCCAGGTATCATTGAATACAAAATTCAGGGAGGAGATTACGACAAGGTATACATTAGAAAGACGAATCGAAAACTGAACATCAACATAAAAGAGTACTCTTCTGCGGTCTGCCTTTGAGAGGCTAACAATTCCGGTATTGCTCTGCATGTAGTTACTGAAGTACATTCCAGTCAGATCAGCGTGTCTGTTATAGAAAAAACCAATCTAAACTATGTCTAATGATAAAGGAGTCCAACTCCGCTGTTGCCGGTCCCAAGCCCGGAAGAGAAAGGAGGAGGAGGTTGGATAATGCGGCGAAATCTCCTCAAAACCTAGCCACCTACCCTTCATGACATTGCCGTCATCGAAAATTATTCCGGCTTGGTCGTCACCCGGGTTACCAAGAGCCGTGCAGGTTGTTGAAGGACTGAGAGGGGCGGCGAAAAGTCGGCGACCAGAAGCTGCTCATCATTTTTTGCCAGCCGGAGGCGTCGCAGCACAACAACGGCTGATGCAGATCGACTAAACGACGACGAAGATACTAATCAGCAACGGAGCAGCTACAAGTTCAGAAAGGACGAGGAAGGCATCGCGATGCCATCACAGCAAGATATAAGTCCTTGCATGTATTGGAAATAAAAAACCGGATGTGCAATGAATACACAATTTCTGTGGATATTAGCGAAAGCTGGGGAACGACTGCAAAACTGATCCGGTTGTTTTAATGAGAACTTCAAGCTGTTTGTTGGTTAGCATTCTGGCCGGTCAGTTTAATATCATTTTGATTGTAAAGCAGTGTTCGCTTGATGGACATAAGTGCTTTCAAGCAGCTCTGATGATACTACGGTCTAGGTAGAGAAACGTGTCGGCAAAAAACTGCTGTATCATCTGTTAGATTTGAAGCTCTGAACCATGAATCGTTCAACCACATATCTATGTAGCTATAGGCCCACAATCAAACACCCAAAGTATTAACTAAATTTCAATTTACTATCCACAATATCTTGCAAAAATAACATATTTTCAGAAAAACAAAATGAGCGGACTGCGCGAATGACACAAATGTCTAAATCTATATTTCAGTATTACTTTTCTGGATACAGTGATGCATAGGCCATCAGCAACTCCAAACTGTTCAGTCGTACGAAATAGAATTCATCATCGAGCATTTTGCATACAGCGCCATAATTTTCGAAAGAGAGTCTGAATCCGCTGTCGTGGTACAGACGCTGAAAGAAGACCATAAACAGAACTATAACTCATAATCATTCGGTAACAGGCTTGCCTATAAATTCAACATTTACGTGATGGCGAGTGCGCGGCAGACACAAGAAAGAGTGCATTTCAGGGGAAAATACCTTACGATCATGACACTTGCTTCATTAACCGCAAAGGCTTGTCTATACATCAAAAAAAGCTACAAAGA